AATTTCAAAGGTGTTTTATCAGCTGTAGAGGTCAGGGCTCTGTAGAGGGCAGTAAAGTTCCTTCACACAAAACTTGCTCATCCATGTCTTCCATGGTCCTGCTTTGTTCACTGGTGCACAGACATGATGGAACAGAAAGCAGAAATCCCAAACTTTTTCCACAATGTTGTCCAAACTAGCACGGTATGCCGAGGCATTACAGTAGATGTCCCAACCTCAGAAAAATCCAATCAAAACATTCAAACCCTTGTCTCACTGACTTGGCTATTAAAAGTCAGGCAAGCGCCATCTTCCTGGCAACCGCCAAACTCAGGCATGTCTATCTTTGCAATGGGAACTCATGTCATAAAGATAAACCACAATGCCAAATTATTTTTTCAGATAATGAAAATATGTCAGACAATCATTCTGTAGGTAAGGAACAGGGCTATCAAATCACTGTCATATTTGAACTGGTCAAACCTGGATAGTACAACAACAGGAACAACAAGAAAAGGACTGTAAGTCAACAATTGTGTTTGTCTTTTACATATATTCTTCAGGCCTAACCTTCTTGGCTAATCCAATAAAACAGTAAAGTGGTGTTGTTCTACTAAATCGTTAAAAACAGACTGACTGTTAAAGTTTAGAAGATTTATCATCAAAACATATTTGCAACTACAACAAAGAAGCCAACACAGACAGCTCCCCAGCTGTTAGCTATAAATGTATAAAAATAAATAGGAACTTCCTGTGACATACGTGACTAATGAGAGCAAACACTGTACAAGACACCTTTCGTGTAAAAGCACACTACATAGTTCACATAGACGTAGGCAGCGATTGTACTGTAAATGTTGTGGGTTCTTAAAAGATCCAACAAACCAAACATTTGTTTGATTTAGACAGTGGGGGTTTACGCAAGTGCTTTTATATCCACGATAACACCACTTATCTTAAGTAAACATTTGTCCTGATAAGAACTATTACTGGCCAACACAGGCCGTCTGCAGTATTTTGACATGAGACAGTTCACATCAAACAGCTCATATCAACTATCCAAAATACTGCTTTCTAAAACTGTAACATGTAAAAGTGATTCACAACAAAAAAAGAGAACATACATTTTTAGAATATACATATCCATGGATCCACTGTACATAAAAACAGGACAGAAAATGTAATATATATATACACACACACGCCTTTCCCATTACAAGAACAGAAATGTTACTTGCTTGGTTCGAGTGTCATTGGATAATGCATTTGTAAAATATTTATACTGAGTCAACGCATAAGAGCCACGTGTCACTTCAACTTTAGGGGAAATTATACAAAAGGTTATTTACTCAGAAATCAGTTAAAAAAAAGATTATCAAAATTATTATTTATTTTGGTTTTGTTTTATGGTGAAATTAAATGAAATAAAGAACTATACACAACCACAAACTAAAAGTCAGAATTCCTTTCAGCAATTAAAATGTAAAAAGCATTTTAAGATCATTACTCCTGTCAACACAGTGAGATATTTAGATGCAAAACAGCATTAGTTAATAGTTAAGTATTTAGGCGTGCAAGTTTCAGTTGTTTCCATCACGTAGATGTGGATGAAAAATGCTACCACCAGTTACAGTTACAATAAAAAAGGAGAAATAAAACCCAATGCCAACTTGACCTGATTAACTGTTAAGCACTTTGTGTCTCGTAAGTGTAGCTTAATGCAATGGTTAAGTGAACTTATTTGTACTAATGGACGCCACAAAAACTGCATCATAATTTGAAAAGTACCAGATTCTGCTTTTTCACAAGGACGTGTTCATTGCATTATTCAGCATATTGGCTTTTTGCATCTTGCCTCATTTTCTTCTCAATTGTTTTGAAATCATTCAAAGGGAGACATTACAAAACAAATGATGCAGCTCTAAGAATGAAAACTAGAAGTCTAAGGGATGGGAGTGGAGCAACAGGATGCTTACTGTCAAGGAGGGAAAAAGAAAAAAATATGTACATTGTGCAACATAAAAGAACAATTGATGGAAGCAGGAAGCCCACTGGCAGTAATCTCTGACAGCCAATCAAATGGCATGGACTAAAAATAGAAATTTACAAATACATAAAAGAAAATCTCTTAAATTAAGTTCAGGCTGAAGATTCACAGTTCAATAAAGGGGTTACAAACGTAGAACACTAATGTTGAAAACTGACCTGAGGTCAGTCCATCTGCAACCTACAAATGCAGACACCTCGAAGATACTAAGTCTGTACATAAAAAAACAATATCTGCAGCAAACACGTGGCTATAAAATTAACACATTTTTTTCGGGGACGGAAGGATCTAAAAGGTCTAATCTGATTACTGACAGAGATGGCGGTTATCTGAGGTGCAGGTCTGCTGTGCTGCAAATCACGTATTCGTATGTGGTTTAAAAACATAAAAAGCCCGCAACCAGCAAAAAACGGGGGTTGGGTGGGGTGAACGAGACCCTTCGTTATCTATCCCTTTCTCCACATGCACACGTGTTGGCTTGTTGGTGGGTGGGACATTCCATCGCAGGCGACAAAGAGAAACCAAAACTATAAGAGAGGCTGCGACAATATTAGATCAAAAGTAAACCACTGCATTCGGCAACGCATGTGTCACCGTCCGAAAACAAGAGTAACAATTATGGTAACAGTTAAAGAGCAACAAGCTAGGCCCATCATGTACAAGGAGCCATGCTCGAGTAACTGCAGCTTAATTTAGAGAGTTGTTAGCACAATAGCGAGAAAAACAGTTGATTTTAAAAACTGAAACATTTAGCGAATTCACGTTATATTTGCTGTAAAGTTTACATTCCATTTTGCGTCATTGCAAAGGCAAGACGCAACATGTATGTTGCTAATGCTAGCAGGTAGGCTAGCAATAGCTCAGCTGCTTTGCCTGCATGTAATTAGGAAAAACTGCCAAGTTAAACGGTACTGACAGCCTTCCCACTGTGTCGCACTAAAGCGAAACTGTCACGGGAAAAAAAAATAATACCATTAATTAGGATGACTCGCGTGAATTAGCCACCTCTCAAAACCTGATTTCATTTACCTTTGCCTTTTCCAAAGGGGTGAGTTTCAAGACGTGCACAAAAGGATTCCTTAACGGTGGAGCTTGGTCCATCTTTTTTCCATCTCCATCCATCGCACATTGTTTGTTACTCGGCAGCTTCATTATTCAAAATAGTCCTTGTGGCCCTAGATGCAGGTAAACGACTTAATAATTAGAAATCTGAGTTAACTAGTGTGAGGGGGAAGGAGGACTTCTCACGCTATTCGCAGTTCCTTTCTATGTGTCCGGCGCCGTCTTGCTAATTGAAGTGGCAGTACGGGGTTATTAACGTTATCTTCCTTTCCCGGGCAGCATGGAAGGATAATGGTTAGCACAAGGATTAGCAGAGCTATTTGAAGTCGCCCTTATCTTCCTGCCTACCGTGCGGTGGACGCCTTCCTCCACGATGCTAGTGTAAATGCTAACAACAGCTGTGCGCATGCGTCTTGTAGCACTACTTATCACGGATTCTCCCAAAGATGTGACAGTATTCTGGCAACTAAACCATGCAAATACCGGTGTTTTATGTTCCACAAATATTTAAAATTGACTTAAAAAACGTACTATTTTTATTATTATTAAAACTTCTTTGCATAAAAGCGAATGCCTTTTTATAAATCAGAATAAAATAAAAATGTCATGCAAGTTATGTCAATATTACAGCCCATGCTATGCTCCATGGTAAAACATGTGCATAGTCGACGAAGCACTGTAGAATATAAATACATACAAAGATCTAATGAGAATGTGTGAAAAAATAAATAATGAGAAACAATGGTGTGCCATTAAGTGGTTTTAGAAGTACAGTAGTTAAAAAGAGAATTGCAAACACAATTGGTAGTAATCGACACTGTCTCTACGTAAGAGCTGGAACTTGATGCAGAATAGGTCAGAATAACTACATATGGTGGTGTTAGGCATGGTCTGGTTGCGCAGCCTTATAACATGAGAATTAAAACTCCATCAGAGACTTGATGTTCTTGAGGTCAGGCTGTGAAAGAATTTGCCTGGGGATATTTTTAAATGTCATTTTTATTAGCGCACATATTTTCTACGTTCCTTCCTCTTCATAAATTAGATCAAGATTGGTAAGTTCCACTACTCTTTACCCAATAGTAATATTCTTCATAAATTAGATCAAGATTGGTAAATTCCACTGCTCTTTACTTACCCAATAGTAATAATGATACGTTTTTGCCTACCTGTTTGATTTTGTGTTTAGGGCGCCATTCTGTGTTGAAAAATAGCAATTTACAACAGCATAACAAACTATAAATCCAAACTCAAACGCTTTTAAATGAAAAACTTGAATTAAAAATAGCTCTACAAGAAGACAAATAACCAGGATTTTGAGAAAATAAACCGTTGTTCTAAGCATAATGAGACATTAGATACTGTATAATTCGTTTGATTTGTTCATTGCAGCTGTCTGTTCATTTAACCACAAGAGGGTGCCAGATTACTAAAATAAATATAGATGAACATCTGTTTAACGAAAGATGAAAACGATTTACATAGATATCGAATCTTCACGCTGAATTATGGTTCTAATTGAACCTTTGTTTTGAAAAAATATAGAAATTTTAATAGCAGAGATTGAAATCCAAATAGAATTTGCAGAATTATTGCAGATGTTGATGAACAAACAGCTATTCACAACTGAACATATGCTGCCATTTAGCGGTGAAAATTGCACATTACATCTAGAAGAGAAAATCGGAGAGTGAATAGATGAGTTAAATAGTCAGGAGAAAGAGTAAAAGAAGAAATAGAGACCAGTAAAGGAAGCGGGTGAAAAAAGAGAATATTGTTGAGGGAATCTTATTGTTACAGATAATATTAGGAAAAAAAATTACTACATAGGTATTTGCCCATATGTCCACTGGGTGAATTGTAAACAAACTGAACTTCCTATTTAACAAAAATTTCAACAAGATAATTTTAAAACAATTCAGTGCCATAATTTAGACAAAAAAGAAAAAAGAACATATGCATAATCAGATTTTATTTTATTTTATTTTATTTTATTTTATTTTATTTTATTTTATTTTATTTTATTTTATTTTATTTTATTTTATTTTATTTTTATTATTATTTATGTGTGGAACATATTTTCAGAGTGCCCTGTGGGCTGACCACATCAGGTTGTTACATTTGCGTTTGACAGAATTCACATCAGACAGGGTTAATGCTCGAGAGAATGGAAGCATGGAAAAAAAAATACAGTAGAAAACAACAATAGTGGAAAAAGGTTTTCCCCATTCGCCACTACCCTCCTTGCCTCCTTTATTCTCTCACCCTCCCTCCCAACCCCCCAATCCCATAGCCGAGGTGCTTAAATTAAAAAGGAAGAAATGCAATTTAAAGACATGGGGTAAACAATCACAAAACACTTGTTTCTGGAGGAGACACAATTTCCTGCTGCCTTGTCCAATTTCTTATGGCCTGGAGGGCTGCTGCATGCGTTTTAACACCTGGTTCTACACCGCTGATTAAAATTGTAATGCCACCGTTGAATCAATCCGTATGACATTTTGGAAATACACAAGTATCAGGACATTTTATATAGAGAGCCTTTTATTCTGCCGTTGTTTTCATTTGAAACAAAAGGGTGTAAGGTGCTGACTCTTGACGGGTGTCACTGCTTTGCCTTCCAACTGTTTGAGAAGCAAAGAGAAAGTTTCAATATCCCACACAAACACAAATAGGCCGTTATAATTATTTTATTTACGTATTCAAAGCCACATCAGTGCATTGTACTAATAGGCTGCTGGGTTTTTCGCGTGAACTCGGGTTTGTTTATCATTAAATGTAACATTCAATGCTTTTCCTCCTGATTTAACGGATTTAAGCTTCAGTGGAATTCAGTCCAGATGTAATGGGTGAATCTCAACACTATTGAACCAATGCACTTCTTTAAAGCAGGTGCACACTGAAGAAGCTAAACGTAGTTTTTCGAACTAAAATGAAGTAGAAGAAGAAGAATCAGCTTTGGATGCCTGCTCAACACACCACGGCCAGGGTGGGATTCGAACCTGTGTACTTCCCATAATGATCCTCTTACCCCTTGGTTATGACATGAGCTGCATTAATATATCTGAGACAAATGAGCTCATAAAATCAGTGAGAGAGGAAATGTGTGAAAGCAAATACTGAAACCAAATTGCAAGGAAAACACGTTCAGCCAATCAGCCGAATTCACCATTGTGATAGACAGTACCGCGAGATAATCTGTAGCAGCTAATGAGAGGTATAGCATTTAGCCACTGCTCACAATAGAGATAAGAAAGATAGAACGAATGTTCAGATTTACTAACACTGTTTCACTACTTTACCTCCTCAGGCCATGCATCTGAGGCAGAGTGACAGATGGGCCGTTGTTTGCTCCACACACACACACACACACACACACACACCAAACCAGTGTTTTACCAGCCCCTGCGTTCATGTCAATCAATGGGCAGCATGTTCCAAAACGTTCAACACACAAAGAGAACACTTTTGGCTGCAGGAAATGGATTGTGTGTAAGACTGGCACACGTGTCAATCACCAAAAGCCCAGCACCAGGCCTCAAGAACAAAGACTTTCACAAACAAAACACACATCACTCCTGAATGACAGTGGGAATACTGTAAGGAAATTCTGGTTGTTTTTTTCCCTAAAACTGTAGTTAAAAAAAAGTCTGTTACTGTACTTCTCTTAATCCGTTATATTTTACTATTACTGTTGTGATTGTTGCACCGTGTGAGTTAGACTGAATTTCAATTTCCATCCTTTGGTCGTTCTGTGCATGTTTCAACAATCTCCTTTAGGGGATCAATAAAGTGATTCTGTTTCTGATTCTGATTACAGAAGTCACAATAAAACTATGACTTTGAGTTTTTCACTGTGGAAGTGAAATAATAGATGGTAAAAAAAGTCATTTAGAAAACTTTGCAGAACGAATCCTATAAGATAGAGAAGAGGATACTGTTGCTTTTGTCCAATAGATGGCAGTGGGATATTGTCATTTTCCAGTGTGCCTTTGTGAAAGTGCTAATCTTGAAGTGATGAAAATAATATTAAGACTTCCATGTGCAGGATGAAAGAGGTCACAAAGGGCAGACGCTCAGATTTTTTAGCATTCAGAACCTAGATTTTTCACACAAGGAACATAAGGAATTTGAGAAAGCTGCTGGTCTGTCCCCTTTCCTGGCATCAAAAATCAGTGTGGTCTATCTGGATCTTCTTATCTCTCTCCTCTCGCTCCATGTCCTTCCTTCCTGTCTGGCTTCTTCAGGTGCCACACTATCTCACAGCCAGCGCTGTAATCCACGTCAGCCCTGTGCTCGGCCCTTTGAAAGAGGAAGCCATTTTGCCGCTCATCTCAGAAAAGCACCTTCCCCGCTCCCTCTGTGTTCTCCTCACGGAGATGAAGGGTAAAGAGATTGGGTTTGTAACCAAAGCCACATGTTGGGCAGGGCAGGGCAGTTGTAAGACAAGAAAGATCTTTGTGGTGAACACAAGTGCTTGGCTGTCCTCTGCATGCCTGTCTGTCAGCGGCGCATCGCTGAGTGGACACCTGTACAACTGTGATTTTACACACGCACGAATACAGTCGGCCGTCACAGTGGTTGTGCAGGTGTCGGTGTTTCATGTGTGTGTTTTAGTATCTGGTGCTGAGTGTCTTCTTAGGAAGAATAATGTTAATGATGGGAAAAGACCTGAAGTTCCATTGTGAAAGAGTCAAAGATGACCACATCTGGATCAAATGAATGATCTGACATCTGATGCTGAAAAACGTTGCCAAAATATTCACTGGATGTCGCTTGACCTTGAGAAAAAAGGACAAAGTGTTCAGAAGACAGAGTTTTCAACATGACTTCATATCCTCCTCAGCTTCACTTTCAGTAATGAATAAAATAAAAAAAAGAAGAAAGACTGTGTTGAAAAAGCAGAACAAAAGGGGGAAGAGATGATAAATGGAGACACAAACCTGTATGAGGATCAAAGGAGGGGTCACGGCTTTGGAATGTGTCTAGGTGATAGGGAGCAGGAAGAGGAAACAGATAAAGTCTTGCATGCAGCACACACACACGTACACACACAAAGAGAGAGAGAGTGAGATACAAGTACTCTTTTGTGCTAATCGTCAAGGGTCGAGTGTTAGCTGACAGAAACCACTGATCTGCTAAAACCTCGATAAGGTATGGGACGTCTGTGACTTTGTTCCTGGGTTCTGAGTGTGTGTGTGTGTGTGTACGTGTGTGTACGTTTGTGCTGGGGAAAAGAGAGAAGATTGTACATTAAACACAAAACAGATCCATTGTTTTAATTTTAAATATTTCTACTAATCCTTATATTGTTGTTGAAGTTTAGAAATGATTATTTCAAAACTGTCTTCATTGTTTTTTTGTTTTTTTTTACAGTGTTCATCAGATTTTCATTGAATCACATACAGTTCCACTAGCACGACGCAGA